GCTCTCCCGGGAATGCTGCTCCCTGCACGGGCTCCTGGCGGGTTCAAAGGTAATTTCAGTTGGTCCTCCTCAGCTTGGCTGCCGGTCAATTTCTCAGAATTCAAAGCCCTTCTCGTGGAGGATGTGGGCAGCCCAGGGAACCGAAACTGCTCCTCAGGCTCACGTGCTTTTCAGGCAAAAAGCCTCATTTCTCTCCTCATGGAATAATAGAATCCTTATGGTTGGGAGGGGCCTTTCAGATGATGGAGTCCAACCATCAACCCACCACTGCCAAATCCACCACTGACCCATGTCCCTCAGCACCACGTCTGCCCGGCTTTTCAATCTCTCCAGGAATGGGGACTCCACCACTGCCCTGGGCAGCCTCTGCCAAGGCTTCACAACCCTTTCCATGAAGAAATTTTCCCCAATACCCATCCCAAACCTCCCCTGGTGCAACCTGAGGCTGTTTCCTCCTGTCCCATCACCTGTTCTTGGGAGAACAGACTGATTTCCCCCGGCTGCACCCTCCTTTCAGGGAGTTGGAGAGAGCGAGAAGGTCTCCCCTCAGCCTCCTTTTCTCCAGGCTGAACACCCCCACCTCCCTCAGCTGCTCCTCACAAGACTTGTGCTCCAGCATCTCAAGGTCTTTCCTGTAGAGAGGGGCCCAAAACTGGACACAGACTCAAGGTGGGGCCTCACCAGTGCCCAGTCCAGGAGGACCATCCCTGCCCCATTTCTGCTGGCTGGCCATGGGATTTCCTACACCCCATTCCACAGGAACACTCCCCTCCAGAGTGTTTTCCCCATCCCAGTCCCACGGGAACTGGGCTGTGGAGACGCTTCTGCCTTGGAGGGGTGCACCAGGGACCAGAGCACTTTGGGTGGTGAAGTTTAGACCATGGGAGAGGCCGGGAGAGGTGAATCCCACTGTCTGGGGGGCCCCATGGGGCCGGGCAGGAGCAGCCCCGGCTGGGGGGAGCGTTTCCCAGCTGGGGATGGGGTCCGTGGGGGAGCCGGGGGGTCCCTCCCCATCCAGCCCCACTCCCAGCTCTTGAAGCCAAGCTTTGATGGACAGGCCACTGAGCCCCTTAGCTGGAGGGTCTCTCCTGGGGCCAGTCTGCCCCACGGTTGCAGTGGGATCCTCAGGGGGCTGTGGGGCTTGTAGGGCTCCCCCCAGCTTGCCAGAGGCAGTGGGAGCCCACGGGAGGCAGTGGGCCAGCCCAGTGGGGTGGCATGAGGGGAGCCACCCTCAACTTGTGACACCTGGAACCTGCTGGCCACCCCTCCCTGCATCTCCTGCCACCTGCTTGGGGTGAGCACGGCCACCCTGACCCAC